ACCCCCCGTCCACCTCCCCTTCTACCACCCCTAGTTTATTTCCCAGAGTTAGTAGTCTCTCATGTTCTGTCTCCCTTTCTGATATTTCCCACTCACTTTTTTCTCCTTTCCCCTTTATTCCCGTTCACTATGGGTGCTCTATTTAAACGACATTCAGATCACTTGGAGGTTAGCTCTCTCCATGCTGAGCCTCCCCAGCCACTCCAGCTCTCAGGAGTCAGACCCTCCTTTGCATAAACAGACTCTCCTCTGGCACAGAGCATTCCCTACATCATACTGTCCTAATGTGTATTGTGTGCTTATGATTTGAAACCCCTCCCAGAATAGGAATCACATCTCATGATTCTTTTTAGTTCCATGCTATGAATTGAATGTTTGCATCCTCCCAAATTCATATGGTGAAATCCTAACCCGCAATATGATGGGATCAGGAGCTGGGGCCTTTGGAAGGTGATCAGGTCATGAGGGTGGAGCCCTCATGAATGGGATCAGTGTCTTTATAAAAGAGACCCCAGAGGGCTCCCTCACTGCTTCCACCATGTGAGGACATAGAGACCAGACAGCTGTCTGTGAGCCAGGAGGTGGGTCCTCACCAGACAACAAACCTGCCAGCACCTTGATCTTGGACTTCTTGGCCTCCAGAGTGATGAAAAATAAATGTTTGTTGTTTAAGCTGCCTGGATTGTGGCAGTTTGTTATAGCAGCCCCAGTGGACTAAAGTACTAAGGCTTGTTCTATTGTTCTGTACCCACTAAGCACTCATGTACACGTGAAGCAGTTATTAAGGGGATGATGACCACGTCTAACTGTTGCTGTTATGTTTTTTAAGGTTTTATTTATTCATTCTTGAGAGACACAGAGAGAGAGAGAGAGAGACAGACATAGATAGAGGGAGAAGCAGGATCCCTGTGGGGAGCCTGATGTGGGACTCAATCCCAGGCCCCCAAGGACCATGCCTGAACTGAAGGCAGATCTTTAACCACTGAGCCACCCAGTTGCCCCCTGACCATTGCTGTTAAAAAAAGAATTCAGGTAAGCTGTGAGAGAGGAGCCCATTTCACCAGGAACTCTCTCTGTTGTAGTTCCCTAGTCTATGTTGCAGTAGAACTCCAGCTTCCCATGAAATCAGATGCCGAGATATTTGCACTTCCCCTGTCTGATATTACATTTTCACTAAATTCCTTAGTTGTGGCATGACAGAAGGGAGGAAAAGGTCGTTCTTCATGACCACCCTTTGTCACCAAAGTGATGTCCCAGAATAGTCATGAATAACAGCGGACCTCCTCTAACACTTTGCCTCCATCATGTCTTCCCTAAAGTGCTGGACCGAGGACCTCACAACACCATGACCATCCAATCTCAACTCTCCTGTTCAGGAACTTAAGCCTGATGGTTGATACTGTCCAAAACTGAACACGGAACAGAACGAAAACTTACTATGCGACCATTGGTCCAGGTAATGAGCAATGGGTTGAAGAGATAGAAAGTCAGAGGAATTTGGGGGTGGCAAGAAGGGACTAATGCAGCCTTCTTGGGAGACGTTGGAAGGCTGGGTGGATAGAACCTGGCAATATTGTGGAAATATCAGGAAAGTTCCCAAGAGGATGCTGATCAGGAACGGATAGTTAGATGGTGGGTAGAAAGCCCAATTGAGATAATAGTTTGGGTGAAAATAATTTAAATCCAGATGGCTGGATCAGACCAGGTTATGCAGGATGATGCATAAATATGAGGTACAGTATTTGCTTTTTATTTCAAATACTTGGATAAAGAGATGAACTGAGAGAAGTGTCATGTGAAGTTTTGTAAGAGTAATATTTTTATGTAGTTGGATTATCATTTCGCAATGTTGAAACACAGTAGAAGCAAGCATTTGTACCCTGGTCATTTTGTGGCAGTCAGCTACTCAGACATGGCACCTGGTTGCAGTGGGTGGTTTTGTCAAGGCTGTATGAGCTTTGTGTCAACAAGGAGGTTTTGAAGTCTGAGAGTGGTTCAGACAGGACTCCTGCCTCAGTCTGCCTGGGCTACTCTAACAAAACACCACAGGCTTGGCGGCTTAAACAACAGACATGTATCTGTCATAGCTGTGGACACTGGAAAGTCCAAGATCAAGTTGCAGGCCAATTTGGTTGTTGGTAAGGGCTGTTCTCCTGGCTTGCAGGTCACTCCTTTTCTCTATGCCATCATATGGCAGGTATCTCTCCCCCTCTTCCTCTCTCTCTTTCTCTCCCATCCCCTTCCTCTCTCCCTCTCTCCCGTCTCTTCTTATAAGGGCACTAATCTCATCATGAGAGCCCCACTCCCATGACCTAATAACCTCCCAAAGGCCCCACCTCCCAACACCATCATATTGAAGGATAGGGCTTCAACATATAAATTTGGGGGTGGGGCACGATTCAGTCCTTAGCACCTCTTGTGCAAGGCAACCTCAGCAGGGCAATGAAGAACATGTTCCACCCAAGATGAGGAAGCAGCCACAGCAGAACTCCTTACAGAAGGCCGGGCAAGTTCTAGTTTACACTGAATCATGGATCTCCCCATTGTCTTGGTATTTTCATAAAAGGAGCATCACTGGAGGTCTTCAATCAGGGTAATATGAAGAAATATCCTACCTAAGGTCAGGCAGGAGCTCCTTGAAGAACCCCAGACTTGTCCATCACATTCCTAAGTCCCCTCCTGAGGGGAGAGGCAGCAAGTGACTATATTTTTCATTGGCCTCCCTCACCTAACCCTTCCTAGGGGCCAGCATGATTTTCCAGGCAAGAACCTGGGGAAGAGCCAGTGGCCATGCCACAGATCCAAGAGATAAACTACAATGCTCTGTGTCATCAGATTAATTCAAATCCACCCCAAACTGTCACACCACACAGGCAAGCTGGTACTCACTCCGAAGCTTCAGGCACAAAGGTGATCATATTGATCAACATCCTCCCCAGGTCTCCACACACAACAACGAGGAAGCACGGCAACATTTTGGTTAGATTGGAAAACCACATTCCACCCACCCTTCTGAAACTTCCAGGATGTCATCATAAATCCCATTCAAACTCCAAGTTCACTTAGCCAGGAGAAAAGTCTTTCTGCACCATGCCAGGCAACAGTACTTGTTAGGAATTCTCCTCTGTTTTGAATGGGAATCTATCTCCTCACAAAATCCACCCATTTGTCTACTTCTGAGGCCACACAGGATATGTCTGCTCTTTTCCACATGGCAACCCTCCAGGCACCAGAAGAGAACCTTCCTTCCCTGGCAGGTCTTCTCTCCCTAAGAGATGATGGTCTTCCAGACCCTCCAGGCTCCAGAGACCTGCCTGAGGGTCTCCATCGTCTGACTCTCCTAGACCCTCTTCTGTCACCTAAAAGTTCCTATTCAGCAGAGAAGTTGTAATACCATAGCCTAGCTTTCCTGCTGGGCTGAAACGGTTTCCAAAAATTCTGGAAATTTGTTATGGCTGTGGCTGCCAAGCCCACAAAACCCAGATCCCAATCTCCCACTGAGCAGCCCAAGAACATGTTCAAATCATCCTCTGGCTGGACATTATCCCTGGGTCCTTGAGATGAATCATGAGTTTCTCTCATTGTTGCTGTTGGCCGCCCCTCTACCCCTAGGTCAATGTCTGTCCCTGCCCCTCTACCCCCAGGTGTCTGTCCCACCACCCCTAATGATGCCTTTTGCCCTGAGAATAGAACCCTGAAGGTGAAGGCAGCATTTAACATCCCATCACAGGGCCCAGCTGACTATGCTCACTTGACAGAAAGTGAGAAAAGACCAGTGATGTCCTGGGCATCTGCCTCACAATTTCCAGCAAAGGGTCATCTGCAAGTGCTTAACCTCCGGATCCCTGTCCTAGAGTTAACTCAAGGACCCCACCCTCAACACTCTAAGTCATCCCAGCCTGGCCAGCTGCCTTGCTCTGACCAACCTCCCTCCATGCAACACCCATACTTCCACTGCGTGTGCTCCTCTAGATTACCACAGCACTTGTGTCAACATAGAGTCTCCGTCATCATCCCCATCACATTCTGCTTAAAGACGATTCTATCTCCATGCCTCTGCTTCTTCCCCCAACTGGAAACTCCTTGAAAGAAAGCCATGGGTCTTCCTTAGCTGTATCTCCACTCCTAGCATGGAATCTGACACAAAGCAGGTGATCATGTAGGACAAGGGAGGTTGAAATAAACTGATCCCTTGGCTTTACTTTGTCAGCACTCACATATCTCCACTGAGAAAGGTGGGAATTGTGCACCTCTTCCTCAGGGTGGGAGTCATGAGAGACCATCATAACCTCTCTCCCTATCTGCTTCCCCATCTATATCACAGTGGAGTAATCTGTGAGTGGTGAGCTGGGCTTGGTAAAGCATGGGGATCCTCCATTTGATCCCTTTCTAAGCCCATGAGATCTGCTTCCTCCTGGCTAGAGAATGTGCTCCCAACTCCGGCATATGACTGGCCTATCTTACAGATGGAAATTGGGACAAGGAACCCTGCCGTACTGGGGCAAACCCATCCCACACCCAATAATTGCAAAAGGGCAGCAGGTTTATTAGGAGTCTGATTAGCCTCAGCAGCAAAATGTCTCATGACTATTTTCATCATCACCAGGAAAAGGAGCTTAGGCTACTCTGTGTAAAACTCTGCACAGAGCTCCAGGGAGGGCCAGTGAGATGCACAAGTCACACAATGATGTGGGGAGAGTCAGAAGTCACTCAGAACAGCTCGGTCTCTGCTCTTGGACTCAGAGATTTCCCAAGATCACATAGCCTCTGCCAACTCCGCATCCCACATGAAATGGGCAAAGCTGCCAAGAGTCTTGCCGGTCTAAAAGACCAGCCAACTTTCTCCTTCTTGGTTTCCATGGTGACCAAGGTGGTGTTTGGGCTTATGACTGTGGAAATGAAGAGCAGAGGCTCCAGCTCTCCAGTTCCCACCTGCCCCTGCTTCCTCACACACTTCCTGCTTCATGCTTAGAGGCCAGAATAGGGAAGGGTGGCCTTACCTGCTAAGATGAAGATGCCCACAAGAATCAGGAAGACCAGCAGGTAGAGCCCGAGGACAGCATGCTTCAGGGCTGACAGGGAGCCCAGCTGAGTGCAGCAGCCTCCTGCTCGCCGTTTGTGGCCTGGACCTAAACAATAAGGGTAAGAAGAGGAGGGAAAATCAAGCACATGAAAACCCCACAAGCTTTTTTTTTTTTCTTTTTGGTCTCATTGCTCCCCATGTAGGCAGATGTTCAAATGCAACCTCTCACACCTTCTGCACATCTGCATTGCAGCTGTAATGATGGGGAACTTTCCAGAACATGACAAGCTTTTGAGTTTCTGGCTCTCCTCCCATCCTCTGCATTCATAAACAAGCCAGATAGCCATGTCCACAGCTCACATGCCCAACAAACCCACCCTCCTGGGAGCCAGCCCAAGCAGCAGAGAAAGCTCAAATAGGCTGGAATAGGGGTCCTTTACAAAGCATCATTGTCCCATGTGACCCAGAAAATATGGAGAAAATTTAAAACAGAGGTTGCAAATTTTAACTTCTACAGTGGCCCGGGAGGGATGGAAATGAGCAAAGTGGGCCACGTGGGCCTCGGGAACCTAACCGCGCACTCACAGTCTGGAAAAGGTTGTGGATGTAGGCATAAGGGTCAGGTGTTGCCAGACACAGAATTTTCAAGACGAGCCAGACGTGATTTTGAGAAATTGCCCTATTTTTAAAGTGTTGACAACAACAACTAATAATAATAACAGACAAAAAAGCTTACAAAACACTAGGGAGTGTAAACAAAACACACTTCCATGCCAGATCTGACCACCAGTTTGCAACCACAGGTTTAGGGTTGCAGGAAGACATAGTAACTTCACTCTGTGAAACTACACAAGGCTCTCCAGCTTCTGGCCAATACAGGAGAGCAAAATACCCATGCTCTACTGGACCTCATGGATCTTTCGGTCCAACCCCGTCAGATTACAGATGCAGGTGCCAAATGTTAGTGGCAAACCCTAGGTGAGGACACAGGTGCCCTGACTCCTGCTCATCTTTTAGCTAGACTCCTCCTTCAAGGCAGTCTTCCCAGATAGCCTGTGCAGAGGCTGGAAAGCCACTAACCTCCATCTGCTTCGTCAACTGACAGTAGAAAGGAAGAGATGCTATGCTCTCCTGCCCTGACTCCCACCAGGGCAGGAAGGAATCCAAAAGGGCTTTTTTTTTTTTTTTTTCAAAACATACATGCCCCCATTATGCTTATTCCCTTTCTCCTGTGAGAGACAATGTTGTTATCTTACTACAGTGTGCTATACATGGAGGAAGGTGTGGGAGCAGAAAAAGGTTGAAATAATTGATATTCCGAAACGTTTCTAAAGATGGTGCAATATTTGTAATTCCTTGGCTACTTTGGGTTTGCAAGGCAGTTGCTTCAAGGGATACTCATTACCTCTCAGGTACCATGACCACCTCTGGGCCTTGGGGAGGTTTGGTTACTGGGAGGGAGAGGATGAGTGACCACACTGGTGTGCTGGCCCCCGAGAGGGAGGAGGGAAAATGAAGAACATTTTCCCACTCATTTACTCCATTTCACTGAAAATACTGCTGTTCAAACAGCCAAGTAGAATGATTACATAATATTTTCACAAAACTTTGGGTACAATTTGGAGTAAGTTTAAAAAAAACACAAATTTAATCACCATTCTCATCAACCCTTAACTGCTAGCAAATTTTGAAAAGTTAATCTGCTTTTCCACTAAGACTTGAGCAGAATACATCTTTTTGAGTTCCCCTAAGTATTCTTTTCCAGGATTTTCTATCCCTTTTACACAATAGACTCTATGAGCTGTTTTGCTCCAGAAACTAAAGACTGTTGTCACATTAAAAACATTTTTTTTTAATTTTCAAAAAGATTTTCTTTATACATTCATGAGAGACAGAGAGAGAGAGAGGCAGAGACATACGCAGAGGGAGAAGCAGGCTCTGATGTGGAACTCGATCCCAGACCCCGGGATCACGAAATGAGCCGAAGGCAGATGCTCAAATGGTAAGTCACCCAGGCATCCCTCTTGACACATTTCATCTTTTTGTTGTTGTTGTTCTCATGAGAGCCAAATGACTAGAGACAAGGCTGTTTCCCTAGAAAGACAGAATGGTAGGCATGGCATTGGATACTACACAAATATGAGTTCTGGGTGTCATGACGGTTGTCCCTCCTCTACACCCTGCTTTTTCTTTAGATGATGACAATACTGCTGCTGCTGACAGTGGCCACCCAACTGCGAAGGGTCAGAAGATGCCCATGCTGAAATGCTATTATCCTTATGTTTATCCCAAAGCAGTCTTGGGCTTTTCTTTCATTGCCTTTGTTTGATCCTCTTCTTATTGAAATATGGATGGATTTCAGCCATATTCTGTTAACTGTTTCAATTTTAGTGGAATCTTGCAGATCTGGTTCATTATAACAAGAAATCATTCTCTCAAAAAGAAAAGAGTTGACATATATACATATATATTTTTTTTGCACGTAACTTTTTTTTTTAAGATTTTTATTTATTTATTCATGAGAGACACAGAGAGAGGCAGAGACACAGGCAGAGGGAGAAGTGGCTCCATGTGGGGAGCCCGATGTGGGACTCCATTCCGGACCCTGAGATCACACCCTGAGCCAAACGCAGATGCTCAACCGCTGAGCCACCCAGGCATCCCTTGCATGTAACTTTTTCACTGAGATCTAACAAGTCATTATAACTTGCCTGAACTTGAGGCAGTCAGTTCAGTCAGATGAATGTTAACATAGTTAAGGATTAAGTGCAGCGACATACATTTGCAGCTTGACTAGCAAGGTTATGTCACAATTTATCAAGTGCCAGATGAGTGCTAATTGTCCTTCAGCTTGAAATTTTTCATGTGGGGAGGAAAGCAAAAAAGGAAGAACTCCTTCCTTTCTCTAGGAATGAAAAAATTTTCCTAAACTAATCAACCACAAGGGCAAGGACTGCTTTTTCTTCAATTCCACCAATTAGAACACCATCCCTTTCTTGTCAAGTGTGTGCTGACTTTTAATTACGGCTGAATAGGAGGAGGAAAATCATATAGCTAACAATACTGCCAACTGGGTCCTGCCTTCATTGTGAGCACGTGCATTGCTAACTCACTGTAAGAATGGGGCAAACTGCAATGATATAGCCATATACCCTACTTTTTTCAATTGAGAAAGAATGGCTCCCTTCCCCTCTATCTGAGGCTTCTGTTTAACAGCCAGTACCCCACTGAGACAGGTCCCTTCATCAACTAATACACAACACAAGACTTCTTCTTAGCTTAGTTTTTTTTCTTTTAACAAGACTCAGCTATGTACATTAGACAAAATCTATCTTAAGTAGAACATATAAGAATTTCAAACAGAGGTTTTCCATAAATGCAATAGACAAGCAGAACATGAATGAATCTGGCAAGGTAGCTAGAGAATGTGATTGCGAGGGAAAAAAGACAATTTAGGGAAAAGACAAGTTACTAAGTCTGCCCAAAACACATTTACTGACTTTTTAATTTAATGTGGCAGCAGCATGTTAGCTGGGTAAACCATTCAAATTATTTAGGCTTAGTGGAAGATTAAAAACACTCCACAAGGATACAGTCAGTAAAACCAAGGCAAAAAGTATGTTCACTTATTTGTTAAAAAAAAAAAAAAGTAAACAAAATGAGCTATCAAGCCATGAGAAAACATGAAGGAAGCTTACATGCATATTACAAGTGAAAGAAGCCAACCTGAAAAGGCTACATGCTTTATGATTCTATATGACATTCTGGAAAAGGCAGGGGTTACGGGGAAGGAGGGATGAATAGAAGGAGCACTCTGGATTTTTAGGGTGGTGAAATTATTCTATATTATACAATAATGATGGACACAAATCATTGTATGTTTGTCCAAACCCATTGACTACACAACACCAAGAGTGAATCCTAATGTAGACTATGGACTTTGGATGATAGTGATGTGTCGATGTAAGTTCATTAATTCTAACAAATGTACGACACCAGTGGGGGATGATACTGAGGGAGGCTGCGCATGTAGGGAGACAGAGAGTATATAGGAATGCTCTGTACTTCCTCCTTAATTTTGCTGTACGCCTAAAACCCCTCTTAAAAATGGTCTATTTTTTTTTTAAATTAGAAGTTTTGACTTACGGATTATTGGGGTAAAAACTTTCACCGGCATTTATCAAACACCCACTATCAATTGCCCTACTGTGGTAGCCAGCCTTCAAGGTGGCCCCCAACGATCTCTGTCCCCTTATTTAATCTTCTGCACTGCACCAGGATTTGGTTGGTGTGACCCATTGAAGTGATAGTGTGTCACTTCTGAGATTAGACAAAAGACACAGCAGCTTCTCCTTACTCACTTTCACTCTCTTGGAACATCAGTTTGGGGGTAAGCCAGCACTATGTCATAAACACCCTGTGAAGAGGCTAATTGATAAGGAACTGAGGCCTTCAGCCCACAGCCACATGAGTGAACCTGGAAGCAGATCCACTGGCCAAATCAAGCTTTCAAAAAACCACACTCTGGCCAAGATCTTGACAGCAGTCTCACGAGAGATCATGGGCCAGAACCAATCTAAGCTGCTCCCAGATTCCTGCCAGATTATATTATACGTAAACATGTGTATGTAAACATATAATTTTGATCTGAAAAAGTAGACAAAATCTTGGCTTTCCTTGCATACCCATAGCTTCCTCAGAAACTGGGAAGATTGTAAATCTTTGCTGCTTTAAGCTGCTATGTTTTGGGTGAACTTGTTATGCTGCACTAGATAGCCGATACACTTATGACAGACACTGTAATGGGCAAAGACAACAAGCTGCGTGAGAGACAGCCAGTGCCAGCCTGTTCACCTCCCACCTTCCCAGTTCCTGCCCAAGGCCTGGCATGTAGTAGGCATCCAAAATATTTATTGAATGAGAAATTAAAATGTGGCCACAGCCCTTCAGATGTGAGCATCTGAAGGGAAGAAGACAAGTACACGGGGATCTGTTACGCAGGCGTGAACGAAACAGGTACGTAATAGAGAGATGGCACAAGTAAAGTGCTTCGTAGCAGAGATGGTGATTCATTCTGTGTCAGGAAGTGGTCCCAGAGTCTGAATG